CATCATGTTCTCCATCATGTTCCCCATCATGTTCTTCATGTTCCCCATCATGTTCTTCATCATGTTCTCCATCATGTTCCCCATCATGTTCTTCATGTTCCCCAGCTGTTCTCCATCTTGTTCTCTGTCCTTCTCTCCAGCCTGTTCTTCATCATGTTCTTCGTCATCTTCACACTGAATCATGTTTCTGAGGAGCAAAGTGAAACCGTGTGAGTGATGAAGTTATAATTGTGTCTCTTCAGGTCTGACAGGACATCTGTTCATGGTTAAGACAACAAACTGAAATAATCCTCCATCGTCGTGGCACTGTGAAGATTCTCTTCATTCATCACCAGTCTTGACTTGTGCTGGAAACAGGTGCGTTTGTTTTGTGACCCTCAACAGGGGCAGCCTCCACCTCACCTGAGATCAGTGCGTTTAAAGTTTGAGAACGTGTGGACACTGCAGCTGTCTCTGACGAAGGCCTCAGTCCTTGGACTTCTGTCTGACTGTTTGATAGTGTTCTGCTCTGCGAAGCCTTTGTTTTGATCCATCAATAAGCTGATGATGGCGGATTCCAATCTACAGCCGGCGGCAGCAGCAGACCTACTGATTGAACCGATTCTTACCTCCAAGGAACTGATAACAACCACCGTGACGGAGGGGCCGGGCCAGATGATGGAGTCAGATGTCGTAGCTGAGGTCCCAAGCAATAATGGGGACGCAGACAGTCCTCCACCTGGCAAAGGCCTGAAGGAGGAGGAGGCCATGTCTTCGATGCTGTCAACTGAAAACGGGACGATGACTGCTGTCACCACAAAAGAAGAATCTTTGTCCACTCTGCTCAGACACATGGAGAATGAGGGGGGACGGGACAGAGGAGGAGACGCAGGTAAAAGATAAAACCAGGCCCAGAGTTTTTACACGGACATGAACTCATAGAGGTGACATCATGTAACTGATGTCTGAGCGTCTCCCAGCTCCCAGTTTCACTGCAGGAGAAGTTGAAAAACACAAGTTTCCAAAAAACTAAAACAAATATTTTTTTAAGCTGCTGTCAGTATTGCAGCTTTAGCATTAGCTCAGAGAGCCAGACTAGCTGTTAGCTCAGAGAGCAACATTAGCATTGGCTGATAGCTCAGAGGGCAGGATTAGTTGTTAGCTCAGACAGCTCAGATTCTACCAAAGAAACTCTCAGACCAGAGTTTGTCGTGTGTCTGTAGGTCTGGACCTAGAGGACAACTCATCTGTAGCGACAGCCGGTGGTTCCGAAGACCAGCAGGAGTCCACAGACTCTGCGTCTTTCTCCATCCCCAGTCTAGAGCTGTCAGACGGGGTCACAGCCAAAGGAAACTCCCAGGACATGGAGGACGGCATGTCCTTGTCCATCTCTGCTGCGGGTGCGCAGGGCTGTGCTCTGTCCGCCGAGGCTGGCGATCTGAAAGATGGCGAGGTGCTGGAGGCTGCAGGTGAGTCGTCTCATGGTCTTTGTCTCAAAGGAGGTCAGGGCTCATCTACAGCCATCAAAGTCTGTTCAGTAAAATCTCAGATCATATCTTAAACTTAAGAGACAGAATCCAATCTACTAATTAACAAAACAGCTTTGACTCAGGCAACAAATGTGAATAATCACATTTAAAATGAATCACAATAAACACATAAAGTAATTTTGTGTAGAAAAACACTTTAAAGAAACAGGAAATGGGAACTGTAGTCATCCACTTGTCTGCAGGGGGCTCTGTCCCTGCAGCAGCAGCTGCTCCTCCTGCTGCTGCCTGCTCCTCCTCGTCAGCGGCTCCAGAGGCAGCATCTTCTGTACCGGCGTATTACCTGGTGAAGTGGATCACCTGGAAGGAGAAGAAGACGCCAATCATCACTCAGAGTGAGAATGGACCCTGCCCCCTGCTGGCCATCATGAACACACTGTTTTTACGCTGGAAGGTAAAACACATAAACAGACTTTGTATTCCACGTTCAAGCATTTGTCAGAAATATTCAGACTAATTTGAACTAGATTTTTGTACAAAGTGGAAGCTCAGTCGTTGATCATAAAGTTTTCCAGTGGCAGATCTGGAACATTAACCTGCACAGTCACTGTCACTTTAATTCACTGTGACGACACAAATGTTTCGTTCACTTGATTCACAATTAGCCCGATTTTCCACTTGCCTACAAATTTTGGAAGTTTCAGACAAAAGCCCAAGGTGGAGACATATCGGTGTTCGATTGTCAGCTGTCAATCACGATGTGTGAACCTTCAAAGACACGCTGCTTCTTCCAACTAGATTTTTATCAGACTAAACATCCAGTCCTCTGGGGGGCGCTGCACAGCTGGATACTCTGTAACGCAGTTAAAATCATCGTCCTCCTCAGAGTCCAGAGTGGGTTGGATATGAAACACTTGATGGTGACATCACTGCCTGAGGATATTATTACGCCTTGAAAGACTCTGTTTTTCAGTGTCCTTTAATCGTGTGTGTGTGTCTGTGTGTGTGTGTGTGTGTGTGTGTGTGCGTGTGTGTGCAGGCTAAGCTTCCTGCTCAGACGGAGGTGATCACCACTGAGGACCTGATGGCTCACCTGGGTGAGGTCTCATAGAGCTGTGAGCCAATCAGCTGCTGAGTTTGTCTGCTCTGTAATTTCATTGTAAAACATTAAAGTAAACGCTTTTATTTTGGTTGTTGCCAAGATAAAAGCCAGCGTGTCACACTGATGTCACTGTTGCTATGGAAATGGACACAACGACCACAAATACACCTGTGTCTTTTTGTAATGAGACGATTCTACAGAAGTGTTTTGTCACAGATGACGACGAAGAGGAAACTAAATTCGATCATCCGAGTTGTTGCCGGTTCGACAGACATCGGAATTCGTCAGCTGTAGTTTTGTGTTTCACAGAGCAGTCACGTGACCTCGTTCAGTTTGAATGTTTCTGGGCCATTGTTGGTAAAAATAAAATGAATCATCGCGCAGATGACACTCAGCTGTATGTTTGAGTCACAGCCACTTCAGGTTCCCATGGTTACCAACAGACGTAAAGTTCATCATGTGCCCAAAAATGTGATTCATGCAGCGATAACGCCTTGTACAAACCTGTGTGTGTGTGTGTGTGTGTGTGTGTGTGTGT